CCCCTTCCCCCCCCCCCCCCCCTGAACACGCCAGTCCACTCCTCCTCCGACGCCCCCGGCGCGGGCGGCGCCGGCAGCTCGATCTGCCACGTGCATACAATCGTGGTCCCGGGCAGAACGTCAGCTGGCGCCAGCTCCTCCGCGATGGGGCAGTCGGCGCGGACGCGAGGGTGGTCCAGCATCCGGCTGGAGAGGTGGTCGGCGGGATTCGAAGGTGCGCGGGGCGCAGGGCGGAGGGGCGGCGCGTGTCAGCAGAGGGGGATGATTGCAAGGGGAATCGGCGCGCTGCGGGCCGTGTGAGGGCCCACTAGCCCCCGGCTGCTGAAAGCTCATCACAGCGTGCTCGACGCCCTTACCCACCCACGCCCAGGTGACGAAGCAGGCGGGCCCTGCGCGCGCCGCTGCCATGCCGCAGGCAACCAATTTGGGTGCTGCGCGCGCCCCACCTGCAGAGCCGCACCCCCACGCGGTCGAGCGCGGCCACGTCGCGGCCCTTGTTTGTCACCCTGACCACGCCGTCGAACGTGCGCCGCTGAGTCAGCGGGTCCACCAGCACCTTGACGCCGGTCTCAACCACCAGCTGCTGGCAGTACGCGGGCACGCCCCCAATGGGCGCGAGCGTCGAGTTGCGGCGGGGCCGCGTGATGGCAGGCGGCGGGCCAGTCCAGGCGGAGCCTCTCATTTCCTCAAAGAGCCGCATGACTACGTCTGGCGGCCGCTGCGGGCGCTCTGGCGCTTGCAGCGGCGCCCTGCGGCCGTCGGCGGGCGCGGCTGCGGGGGAGCACAGAGGGCAATTTTGGGGGGCCATGCCGGTGGGGCTGCTGCCAAGCTGTGCGAGCCGCACTTCCGTCCAGAACAGGGTAGAAGAGTGAGCTGGTGCTGCGCTGTGCGAGGCCGCGGGCGTCGAGCATCGGGCCAAGCAGCGTGTGGCGGACCTTGGTGCAGCAGCAGGAGCAGGAGCACCAGGGTGGCATGGTGACAATGGGCGTGAACAGCCGGACGCCGCGTCATAATGCAATCACAGATGTACACAAGGGTAGCGCTTGGTTCGTGATGGACGATGTGTTCGAGTCACCCGCGACCAGGAAAGAACGCCAGCAACGCTCTGATGAGTGAGTATCGAATTCAACGCAGAATATGATTTTCCACCACCACTCGCACATGTTCTAGACACACGGGAGTTGGGGCCATTCGTGTTTGAAAGCCGCCGCCGCCTGAGTCACCGCGACCTTGAATCCTGGCCTTGGTCCAGCCTTGGTCTTGCTGTCCGCTAGTGATGATGCCTGCTAGCTTGCATGAACCCTCCTTTACATACAGGCGCATCCTTGTACATAAGTACCGTAGGGTTTGTGAGTGTGCCGGATTGAAAACGCCATCGTCACCTGGCACCCATGTGCTGCAAGCTTGCATTGCCTGCCTCCCGCCCGTTTGAGATGATGACGTAGGGGAGGAAACATGTGATTGGCATGAATTCACAATGATGCTGTGTGGTGGCAAGGCGAGCCCAACCAGGGCTTTTGATTGTAAACGTGAGTGTTGATCATGTCATGCCTGCAAAGCTTGAGTACCTCCACACCGGCCTCCGCTTCGAACGAAGGGGCACAGTCCCGGGCCTGCAGCGGTCACCACCAGCAGCACGGCTGCCTGCATTGGCGTTATAGCATAATCTTTTTGCAAGCTGCGTAGGTATACTGGGGTGAGTGCTGACAGCAGTGTGCATCACCTTCCGATGATTAAACGTGCTACTCGAGCAGAAGGGAGCTCGTCACCACTCAACCGCACCGCGGCGACAGGCGCTACCCCGATTGATGTGTATGTGTAAAGTAGAGGACGAGCAATTCCCAGCGTTGCATGTTTACACGGACTGTGCGCTGCGACGTGAGGCGCTGCCATTCCTGCATGTGGCCCGGGGCCGTGCAAGCTCAACAGAGACAGCACGAGCAGGTGGCTGCTGCGCCGACATCAGTAGCGACGATCGAGGCGTATTGAATCTCTTTATGGAATTGCCCCGGGTTGGTTCATATTTGACTTGCTTAAACGTGCAAAGCATATGCCTACAAGCATCCGGACGCCGTGAGGAAAACCCACCCGCGCGTGGCAGAGCGCCCTCTCGAGAGTGCCAGATCTGTACTGCCTGGACGTCAAGCATTTGGTATCGCTCATCTACATTCACCGTCGCACGGAGGCACGGCGCATGCGCAAGGTGCGAATAACAGAGTGCACCTCGGCTGCCCGGCCTCTATGAGCGCTCAATTGCGTGCCTATCAGCCTCCCGATCATGTGTGTCTTCGTACCATATTGCCCTAGCGTGCCCTATGTCGCATCTCGAGCATGCGCTCTAACCAACCATGCTGCGCCCGCCGCCCTGGCTGCACTGCCCCACCCCCAGGCAGCGCAACGATGACCGGCCCCGCCTCGGCCGAGCCCGCGCCCGCGCCCGCGAGCGCGGGCAGCGCCTTCACAGCCGCGCCTACACAGCAGCAGGAGCAGCAGCAGCAGCAGCCCCGCGAGCCGCCGATCACGCTCGCGCGGGCGCCGCTGCGCACGCTCTACTACTTTGCGTGGAGCGTTGCATCGGGCCTGCGCGACGCGGCGCACTTCGTGGCGACGCACCCGCTGACGCTGTTCATGGCGCTGCCGCTGCTCGCGTATTACGTGACCGCGAAGGCGCTGGGCTACGCGCCGGCGCACACAGCTCTCATGGAGGTGCGTGCGCCAGCTGGCAGGCGCCCGCGGGCCCGCATGCAGCGAGAGCGGCGCGCGCGACTGCCCTGGTGCTGTGCGACGGGGTGGGGCAGTGGGGTGGCATTATGCACAGCAGCGGCAGCGGCCGTGCTGTGGCCTGTGGGAAGTGCGAAAGTTGAGCTGCAGTGGACCGCAGCTGGCAGGGCGGACGCCGTATCCCCCAGGGATCTCCCTGGTGGGCAGCCGCCCGGGGTGCCAACCCCGGGCTAGAAGCGGGAGCGGGCGTGGGGCCGGTGGCAAGGGCACACAACCAGCAGAGCGCCCGAGACCCTGGCGCAGCGCCGCCCTCGTCCACCCCGGCGTAGCGCGTGCTGTCGCCCTGCACCCTGCTCACTCCCCCAATGAATTATCTGAACATCCTCATCCCAGGAGCTCTTCCTGTATGCGACCTGGTGGATTGGGCTCGGCATTTTGTCGTCAATTGGCCTGGGCACGGGCATGCACTCAGGCCTGCTGTTCCTCTTTCCCCACATGCTTAAGGTGGGGGGCAAGGGGTGGACGTGGCGCGGGTGGTCGCATGCAGCTCGCGCGAGCACAGCCGCGTTCAGGCGCTGGCAGCTGGGGCGGGCCAACACTTGCTAGCATTGACAAAGGCAGCAACGCCAGGTCAAAACAGCTGTCACAGCAGCAGCAGCAGCAGCAGCAGCAGCGCCAAGGACACGAGGTTGGATAAGTGCACTTACACAAGCACGCGCTCAAGCGCGTGCATGCACATGCAGTCTCACACATCACACACTTGCAAAACGCGCTCGGCTACCCCCCCTCCCCAGGCCTGCCTGTCCGCTGAGACCTGCGGGCACGTCAACTTTGACACACGCGGCGACGTATGGTACAGCTCGGAGCCCTTCCACTGCGGCGGCCAGGCGGCGGACCCTGGGGGCGTCAGCTTCTGGCAGATATACAGCAAGGTGGGGCGCCCGGGGGGGGGGGGGAGAGGCGCGCCTGGGGCGGCGGAGTGCAATGCTCGCAAGGACAGGGGCGGCGAGGGCTTGGTGCGGTGGAGGGTTCAGCGGGCGTGCGGACTGTTGGGCGTTGCAGAGGGGGGCGGCGTCCTCATGCCGCGGGGCCGGGGCGCATGAGCTCACCGCCGTTCGGCCTGCCGCAGGTGTGGCCGACGGCGGTGCTGTGGGGCGCGGGCACCGCCATTGGCGAGGTGCCGCCCTACTTCCTGTCGTACCAGGTGGGGGGCTGTAAGTGGTGTGGGATTTCCTCACTATTGTTGTGAGGGTCTTGAAGGGGGGGCCCCGCGTGATGAGGGGAATGCAGGAGCGCGGCAGCCGATGGGCGGGGGGTGAGGGCGGCGCCGGCCCCCAGCCTTCGGCTGGATTGTGGTGGATTGGGTATCAGCACACCCAACGCGCGGCGCTGCCGGGCGCCGGAGGGCAGAGCGTCCAAAGGCATGGCAACGCAATCGTAGATTGTGCAGGGAGGGTCTGCCGCCTTGACAGCATCGCCCCCGCCGCCTGCTGCGCGCTGCTTGCTGGTGCAGGCTGCGGTGGCGGGGACGCGCAATGAGATGCTGGCGGACGTTCAGGGGAACATACAGGCTGGTGAGGAGGGCAGGAGATGGGTTGTATGTGCGCATTGCTGTTGGGCATGTGGGGCCTGTGTGTGTGTCATGTACTTGATGCGTGTGTGCATGTGTGTGTGTGTGTGTGTGTGAGTTGATCCAGTACATGTGCGCCGTGTTTGTCTTGTCTGTGCGGCAACATATGTGTCCGCTACCCGCTTCGGCAGCATGTCTGCATAGGATCCTGTGGTTGCCCCTGAGTCGCCTGCTCACCACCACAAACACGCGCTGACACGGACACACACCGCACCTCACTTACTCCTCATCACACACACACGCACACACACACACACACACACACTCTCTCTCTCTCTCTCACACACACACACACGCACTCTGGCCACCCCCACCCCGCCCCGCCCCCCAGGCAAGGGCGCCGGCCTCGTCGCGCGCATCGTGGGCGCCATGCAGCTCTGGATGATGCGTGTGATCCAGCAGCACGGCTTCGTGGGCATACTGCTGCTCGCGTCCTGGCCCAACGCGGCCTTTGACCTCTGCGGCATCTGCTGCGGCGCCTTCAAGATGCCCTTCTGGAGCTTCTTCGGCGCCACGCTCATCGGCAAGGGGTTTGTCAAGGTCTCGGGGCAGGCGCTGTTCTTTGTGGCGCTGTTCAGACAGGTGTGGGGCGCGGCGGGGGCGCGCGCGCCCGCGGCCGCGCGCCTGGGCGCGTGTTTGTGTCTGGCGGGCGCGTTTGCTGTGTCTTGAGGCCGAATGACAAGGGCGCCTCGTTTCGCGACGCGGGTGAGGGTGTTCCATTTGCGTGTGGTGATGGCTTACAATGAGTGGTGGCTCAATCGCGTCCTGCTGAGCTCCCACCAACCACCAACCGCCTGCACACCAAGTGACGTCTGTGCTCCCACCCGCTCCCCGATCCCTCACACATACACACACACACACGCACATGATACGCACAGGCCAGCCGCGACGCGCTGCTGGCAGCCGTCACCTCCATCCTCCCCCGCCGCCTGCCCGGCGCCAAGCCCGGCGCGCAGCCGCCCGCCGCGGCCCTCCGCAGCCTCGTGCAGAGCCAGATCGCCCGCTTCCAGGCGCGCGTCGTGGCGAGCGCCGCAGAGCACCGCAGTGAAACGCGGTGGTTCTGGACGCGCGCGGGGGACTACCTCGGCACTCACTTCGGGAGCGGCCCCGCGGCGGCACGCGCATGGGCGGCGGCGCAGGTGCCGGACACCGTGGGGGAGGTGTGGGGGTGGATCATTTTCGTGCTCATCGGGGTGTTTGCGGTCAGCTGCATCAACGCGCTGGCGCAGGGCCAGAAGGCGTGGGTGGAGGACGAGCGGCGGCGGCGGGAGCAGGGTCAGGTCAAGTCGGAGTGAGGGGCGGGTGCGCGCGTGCGCATGTGGGGCGTGCGCACGGGTGCGTTTGGATGTTGGGTTGTGGAGGTCCCCATTTCGGCCGCAGCCGAGGGTCAAGATCGGGCACTGCGCGAGCGCTTGCAGATAGGGATACGATTTCATGCGCCGCATTCTTTGGGCCCGGCGGCGGCCGGGTGGGTGGCTGGGCTGGCAACTTTGGGAGCAGAGGGTGAGAGATTGGAAGCGAGCGCCTGGCCCCGTTGACACCACGGCGGCCTCCGAAGCTCGCGCCCGCCGTTTTTCCAACGCCGATTGGAGTTTGCACATGGTTCTGCTGAGTTGGTGGGTGTCGGCCATGCTAGCGCTGTAACAGGGCGCACACGGCCCCTTGAGCAGGGCCTCCCCAATCAGCATCGAGCCCCTGGTTGCAGGGGCCAGGGGGTGGGAAGCGCGCGGACACTCCTCCCTCCTTCTGGCTGAGGAAAGCTGTTCCTGCGATGTCCGCGATGACTCAGGGCGGGGCGGGCGCACATCATCGCTTTATCAGCAGTGCAGAGCTTGAAACAGCTGTCTTGTGTTGCAAGGAGCTTGCCGGGCGGCCAACAGAACTTTTGAGTGTCAGCGGTTGGCGGCACCTTGTGCCTTGCCGGTAAGGCCCATCACAGCTGCCCCCATAGTGACCCCCGGCGACCCTGCGCCACCTGCATCATGCACGGGCGCAGCACGCAGCAACACGCGCCGCCACCCATGCCCAGCGTCCACGGCCCGCAGTTCTGCTGGCGTGTGCCACAACCCTGGTGTACACCAGTGGTGACCAGGCACGGGCGAGGCCCTTCCACGGGTCGCAGACAGCTGCATGCAAGGTTGGCCTGGGTACAGCTGCACCTATGAGCAGCTCTGAAGGGCCCAATGGCTGCCAGTGTAAGCCCTGACGAGGCTCCTGGGCCAGGCCGCCACACGCCGCACACGCAGCTAGGCATTGACAAGTTACACAGGCGTAGCGCCGGCTGGGGCTGCCCCCGCGCTTGGTGCGCCGGCCAGCAGACGCCGGGGACGGCAGGGGTCCACCGCTTGTTGAGGGGGCGGCCGTGCGGCTTCGATAAAGCCGGAAGTGCATAAGATCTTCAAAAGAGCTGCAGCTCCGACGTGTGTGTGCATGCGTGCATGCATGGTCGCGTGTGCGTGCGTGGGCCCACTGACTATTTGTGTGCAGCAACCGTGAGCTTTGCTGAGAACGGTTGTGTGCTCTGAACACATGCCCAAAGGCGGCGCCAACCTGCGACAAACCCAGCTAGCGAGCCGGAGAGAGCAGCTAGCGCCTCGGCGGCGCTCGATTCCGGCTTGAGCGCCAATGCGGGCACAGGCCGCGAGACGGGATGCGTCGCGCGGGGTGCGCGCAAGGCCGCGCGTGGGTGCAGGCGGTCTTGTTCTGTGCTGTTGACTGAGAATTCCGACGCCTGTGCGGCGCGCGGCGCGGCCGCCTGCTCTCTTGGCTCCGCCCATCCCCCCTTGCAAACAGCGAGCCGACAAATTCACTTCGCGCCACCGGCAACTCAGACGCCGCAGCTGAGGAAAGCGTGATCTGCCATGCAGGGCCTGGCGTCGTGTGCCTTTTTCAGTCGTTCTTGGCACAGCCCGGCTTCTTCACGATCACGGGCGGCAGCGGCCGCCGGTGGGAATCCCCCAGGCCACCCAAACCCGCGCCGCCGCCGCCACCCCCGCCGCCGCCGTGCCCGGCCGCGGCGCCCGCGCTCGGCGGCCGCGGCGGCGGCGCGCGCTGCTGCAGCACAACCG